AAGCTCCAAAACTTCCCTCTGGTCTCTGCTTACTTGCTTACTAAGGCTGATATTGTCCACAAAGATCAAATAAAGTGAAAATACAAATGTAATGTATCTCAATTTTTTTTAGCCAATTTAAAGACCAGTGAAGAGATGGATGGAAATGGGCCAGCACTTCACCACCTGCAGAGCAGCGGTTTGCACCTGAACACAACCCTCACGCTTCACATGGGCACACTGGCATGTGCTGTGGAACAGAAGTGTATCTGGGCTTCAAAATTTCCATGACGATATTTCCAAATGTTCATGTTGTTATTTTCTAAATGCATATACCATGATGCTTCCGATCTCATTGTCATCAAGAAGAAGGGAATGAACACTTTAAAGACCTTGCTCTGCCTGTATCTAAGAGGGCTTTCACAAGTAACACTTCTGTACTGCACAGAACCAACCTGGTGAAAAATGCTGGTTGTCCTCAGGCCAGAAACTGGAAGTAAGATTGGATATGAAAATCTGAGGGTCTTTCAATTCTATGACCTAATCCTCTTTGATCACAAGTGGATGAATTTAACTCACCATAAATGAGTTTATTAGAACCTTGTGGAAAGCTTTGGCTGCTGACATTATATGCATCCTCTAACGTCTAGACCCGAAGGTAAATAATAATTATAATCTTACTCAGTCCTCCAGTTGCCCTACTATTTCAGTATCAGATAGTATTTCAGTATCAGATAGGACTCCAAAAAGAGGGACGAAGACTAGATCACGTCGATCTCTGTGGATGGTCATATGAAGAAACTAACAACAGAGTAACTCTGATGCTAAAAAATGGCACAGAAAATGTCCTAAATGGCTTTATTTTATTAACATAATAGCTAAGAGCCTTCCTCACACCTTAGCTCCATGTACAGGATGTGCTTGTACATCCTGGCAAACTGAAGTATTTCAAGACTCAGACTGGAGTTAGATGAGCATTTCAGAAATGTATACAGCCATCTTACCCTAATGCAACCTAATATAGTTTTACTGCTTCTGTTGCCCAAGTAATTCATAATCTTTTAAATCCTTTTATAAGTGACTATCCTTAGTCACTTATGACATTCTGTTTTAATAGGTGGAGAAACATGAAGAAAGAGAATTGAAATGACTTATCTTGGGTTACCCAGAAAAAACGTGGGTAACTTAGGGATGAATTGCACATTGTTTTTTAGCATCCAGGCTCGCACTCTGATTCCCAACCATTATCCTTCTCTGAGGCTCTGATTTAAGAAAGCAACTTACCAGAAGCACTGATTCACCAGACATCACCCTCATTGAACTGCACTTGACCCCTTATTTCAGCCTGAGACAAAATCAACTCTAAAACTTGTTTGGGTTCTCCTACTTGGAGTTTAAGAGACTTGTATGACAGAAATATTGTCTTCACTCCTCCCGTAGTCCCACACATTCAGTTTTGCTGCTAATGAACCAAGAGCAGATTCAGTTACTGTATAACCCCAACTTATTTTCAGAGTATCACCTATTCTACGTACTGAAAGAAGATGAGGACAAAAAAATATGTAGCTATAAAATTTAAAGTTACATTAAAATACATACACACCAGAAGATGAAATTGGGACACATCCTAACTCCACATAAACCTGTTTTCTTGACTTTTCAAATTTCATTTTTGACACTGTAAACAATTTTCTTTTAAAAAAAGTAATTTAGTTGATGATAATAGCAGTGCACAATTCTACCACCTTTCTTTCACTGTATCATTGTAAGGCGTTGCATTTTGGACCGTCAGCACTTTAGTGATCATCGTCCATCACCCGAATCGAAGTATAAAAATACAAGTACAGAGAGATACAAGACAAATTCAGCTGCTGGCTCCAGAACTCCACCTCTGTGGACCGGGCATAAAATGCCAGAGGCTGCTAATTAACATCAGTGCTAGTGGCCTACATATACATGAAAACTTCATTTTACGAAGAACAGAGTTTTACCAGATACTGTCTGAGAAGCCATACTTCTCCCATGTTTATCTACCTCCATGTGCTATACTAGTATACTGCATTATTTTGTTTTATAAAAAATAAAAGAAATTTATTTTCTTTTATAAAAAACAAAGGTCACAGAAATAATGCTAGTGGTCAGCAGTGCCAAAAAAACTGGAAGCCAGGTAATGTTTCTTTGTTCCCAGCACAGTCCCCACCTAGGTTGCCACCTTCCCCTGACCTGTCTGATAAGAAGCAATTGCAGCAGCAAGAGCATCCATTTCGCTTACATCCCAGTTAGTGGTTAGTACCACATGCCGAAATAGAGTTGCAGCGTAAAACCAAGAGCCAGTACTGATGAGAAATGAAATGACTTTAAATCGTCTAGCAATTCTGAGTTAGCCAAGCAGAGCTGGAAGGCAGTGGCTGTCAACAGCTTTAGCTTAGGCCAATCCAAACATTTCATGAAAGCAACAAAAGGCATCCTTATCATTCCAGGATGACCTTCTATATAAATTTTAGGTTGCAAAAAGTTGAAATGTTACAATGTTTTTGTAGTACAAAGTCTTAGAGAACTAAATATAGATATAAGCACCATTCTCCCACTGTTTCTATAATCTTCTGACTCTTAAAATTGTTCACTCTTCTAATCTAGGAGTGAGTTGCAGGTCTAAATTCCAAACCCTCAGTGAAAGAAGATCGGCAGTTCATCTAAAGGCTGAAGTTTCTCAGTGTTCAGATCAAGACAGTTAAACATGTTTTCTGTGATACACCTTACAGTTTCAGCACACTGTTATGTATTGACTGGATTTTGGCTTAGCTCCCCTTGCTGGGATTGCTCCCAACCATATCAATGTATCCACTATCAAACTTGCAGTTGGATTTGCTAACTAGCATGTTATTCCTTTACATATATTCTTAAGCAGATGACTACTAAAACTAATAATAAAAAACTAATATAAAAACTAATAATCTCTTGAAAAATGTTCTGTTGACAAGGCCATTCAACTGAGGAAAGTAGATCTCTATCAGCTAAAACTGTAAGGGACTAATCTTGAGTATTGCATGTTACAGAGAGACACGATGGCACAGATCCAGCAGTTTCAAGGAGAGGTGAAGGGTGATGTCTGGAGGAGTCCAGACCAGACTGTGCAGACCAACTCTTCGAACCTGCCTTGCAGAAGACTCATTGGCCATGCTGTTGAGTTGATGATAGCTCTGATTAATGTCACAAACTGTGTTACACCGAAAATGGATTCTCCTCTTTTATTTTCAGTCCCAGGCCTTGCAAAAAGAGCGGGCTGTTGGTGGGGCTTCAAGTAAGACTGAATTGTCAGATACTGACAGACAAGGAAAGTTTACCCATACTTAACTTTCTATCTTCTTGTTTTTCTTACATCTTTAAAGATCTAGAGTGGCTAGAAGTCTTTTCATGCTTCTAAAAACAGAACTCCCACACCCTCCTCCTGCAAAACCTTTAAAATAGTATTGTCTCCTCTATACTTCGCATACTTGTCCTGTTTGTGCCCCTTCCCCCTCTTAATTGTCCTTAAAGACAATAAAAGAAAAAAACTTTAAACTTTCATTCCTTTGACATTACAACTGGAGTGGGCGGCTAAAATAAGAAAAAGTGAAACGTTTATACAATATAAAAATTAAGACAAAATTGTGTTTAAAAAAATCTACCTAACCAGCTGTTTAAAACAGTAAAAGCAGAAATAAAATAATTAATCAGTTCTGCCAACTCCTGAGGATTTTGAGACTGGCAACAGTAAGATATTTTCTATTTCACTTGCAAATATCTTTTCATTCACATATTAAAAATCACACCTCAGTTTTTGAGTTGATGAAGGAAACAATATGCTCATGCCAGGTTCAGGGTTTCTTTATGTAGGTATCAATACTGCAGATAGCAGTTTTTCCCTCTGTGACTGTGGGAAAAGGAAGGCCATACAAATAACGTTGTCACATACAGTGTAAATAAAGACTGCTGATATCCTGTCATTTTTGTACAATCACCATTTGGATAAAAAAATAGATAAACCATTTCTTCTTTTTTTCCAGATGAAATATGCTTCTTCTGTCTATGCATCTCAGGGAAGAAGGAAAAAGACACTGGTCTCTACCTGGATTTCAGCACTTGTTTTTTACATAACATCCTATCACGATGTTCTCCCCACATCATAGTCCTGGAAATCTGGGTTGTTTCTTTCACATCATGAGAACAAGTACGTGAAGTGGAAATCTCCGCTCTTCCTAAAGAGCTGTTTCAATGCTAGAGATGCTGCCACTTTTTGCTCCTGCTGCACAGCCACAGTTTGCCAGTGTGGAGAAAAACAACCGAGCTTTGGTGAAGAGGAGATGCAAGCTCGCTCACAGGAGCAGTCCAATCTCAGATTACAACTGTTAGGTTGGCCTTGCACTAAAAGCTGCCATTTTTTCCATCATAGTATTCTGTACTGTTAATGTCCAAAGTGTTAACTGGGTATTTAGTTTCATTTACGACAAAACTTAATAGAAGCAACACACGGTCTAAATCCTTCACTTGTTTTTTTAGGCATTAGGGTTGAGATCTTCAATGTGCAAGGAGATGCTCAGTGGGATATTCTCAGTTGCCTAGGTGTAATTCCCACTGAAATGGGAACATCTTAAAAATCTGGCCTGTGGCTTTACCACAGAGCTAAACACGACCAACAATGTTCTTACTTTAAAGTTTTAATGCAATGTATGTATATTATCATAAGAAATTCTTTTAAAATTATATTCAAGCATTTTCAGTCTCCACTCATAAACTGGCACCATTTCTTATCCTTGAAATTTTGAAATGAGTTGTGCTGTACTATTTCATAAATGAAATACTTGTCCATCAGAGAGATCCCTTCCTTTCCACCTATTCATTTTTGTTAAAAAATAAACTCTCAAGTATTGCACCATATAGTGACACATCGTTTAGAACAGGACCTTTTCTACAGACTTGCAAACCGTATTACGGAGGATTTTCTATCCTAAAATTCCTGTAATCATAATTTTTCTGAATACCTGAAAAAAACCCGGTGGTACAGGACCTACTGGCATGCCATCTCCTGGGGGAATGTTTCCTAGCACTGGACTGGGAGCTGCTGCAGCACTCTGAAAAGAACAAAGGGAGAATAAACCTTTGTCATTGCATGGTAGGCATTAAACCCAAAAAAACCCCCAAACCAAAAAAAACCCCAAAACCTGACCAAAATGCAGAAAGTAATTCTCTGGATATGTCATAATGTCATTGTTTCATCTGAAGGTAAATTAAAATTGTATAGTGTTCAGTCTTGGTTTATACAAGTATAATGATTTGTTAAAATAACATACGTATGTTGAGGGGAAGGATGCTAGAGATTGCATGGATATACAAATAAGCCTCAATTAGATAAATCTTGACTAGATTTTAAAAAATATTGCATCTGAATGTGTCTATATATATACAAATGTGAATGTAACTTGCACACTTTTTCTTGTATTATGTGTATAAACATCCTCACATATGCACAAGGATATACATATAGCATAAAGAAAGTAATTTATGCATTTTATCAGCAATTTCCAAGCACTTTAAAGATAATTTCAGCAGACTGTAATATTCTTTCAGAACTACATCAAGCTTCAAAACAGGATTCTGTTACAAACAGTACAAGAAGGAACGCTCACGATTCTGCTGGTAATGCTTATGAATTTACCAACCCCAAAAATAACCACCATGACAAATTAGAAGAATTCAGATTACGTTTTTGGAAGGGAAAAGAAAAAAGGGATTTCTAAGAAGTGAATCAGAGGATGAAATTAGTTACCTTTGCAAATCCTTCAGTTGGAAGAAGCAAGTAAAGAATATTGCTTCTGGCAATTTACTAGCAGGAGATCGTCACAAAAAGGGAAGCCAAACTGTTATTGTTGTCATGTATTGGAACCTCAATTACTTTTAATTTCTAGCAGTCTTCCTTCCTGCAATACGTTTTGTAGGGCATAAGGCTGAATCACCTACAAAGGCTTACAATCTTCTTTGAAAGTACTCATGCACACACAATACATTGAGAGCCACTTGCAGCTTACTAATGACCTGCCAATATCTGCCCTGCAGAATATGAATGGCTTATGTTTATTAACTTACCACTCTATTGTACGCTCACACTTGATATCCAAAAGATGCAGATCTGGAAATTCTATTTCCAGGTGTTTGGCACACTATCTAGGAAATTAAAGAATAATGCTGGAAAGATTTGAAAACTGCCACAAAGAAGGGGTGACCTTTTTAAACCAAGCAGAAAGGAAATATTCAGTTAATTACCACAGATTTTTCAATGGCCTAAGCTGTGCTTTAGAATCACATTTCTGAACAACTAGCAGTAGCCTATTTAGCATCTAAGCTGCATGTTCTTTCCAAACAGAAGTCTAGAACATATCATTAAAATACAAAGACTGCAAAAAGTGCTGGCTTCAGAACTGGGTGCAAGACTTATTCACTAGAAAACCCTGTAATAAAGGGTCTTATTTATGCAAGGATCTGGTCTGCAGGATCAGTGTTAAAATACTATATAATTGCAATTGACAGAAAATGATAGTCAGGTGAGCTGGACGTAACAAACACTTTTTAATCATAATACCTTCTTGTGAGAGGCTACCACAAACCAACCAAACCAGCCTATAAAGCTGTAGCAAATACAGACGGTTCTCCGCTGGCCACCATCATTTTTTGGGCAATGCCTGAAGTTCATGAGACTGGAGTATGGTGCTGCTTAGACACATGCAAAATCATGCAACTCCCTGGAAAGTCTCAGGCACTTCTCTCAGGTCTGTTGCAGTCTCTTGGCCTCCCAGACAGAGGGGGAAATAAGCAAGTGATGTGAATGCACAGAATAACTCCTGAAGAACAAAGTAATTTTGTTCCCCTTCCTTTCTTTTGCATGGCTTCTGTGAATGTCCACCGATTACTTTCAGATTATCTACATTTCCAAAGGAAAACAGAAGAGAAAGTTTTCGCTTTTTTTTTTTTTTCTTAAAGCAAAAAAATGACCTGTTTAAACTGAGCATCGGATAACAACTTCAAGTAAAATCATGAATAGGTTTGAATAATGAATAAATAGACACAATTTGAGTGAAAGTATGTTGGATCTTACTTCCGTATGTACAGGTTTTCTAGATGAAGAATGACAACAGTAGCATCACTGATGGAGAAAATCAATGATGTTAAAAGCCTGAGCATCTTAAAATGTCCAAAATAGCCTGCACTGCAGTCTCTGACTAAGAAGGAGTAGCCCATTAAAGGGGCGCTAATAATGATGAACCTTATTACAATATCATCCCTCCTTGCATACCAATTCCTGATTGCCCCTATGCTACCTTAGCTGTGTCCATCTTTACTGGCCATGTAATAGGCACTGTAATGTGTTCAGTGGAGGCGATGCTACAGAATAAAGCATTTCAACTGACTATAATAAATCACTGGGCAAACACAACTCAACAGTATGAAGTCAGACAGGCAAAATACTATTAAGTTGTGAGATACCAGAGAAAGAGCTAAGCAGCACCTCCTCTGACACACGACCACTTTTCAGAAGCCTCCCATCCCAGGTTGCCTCACTCCTACTCACATTATTTAAACTATATACCAGGCATTAATGAATGTCAGAGTGCCTTAATGCCATGGGTGTTAGATGTCCTCCTCAACTGCAGCGTCTGCCAGAGCCCCCAAGTTACGAAACGATGCTTTTAAGAGGAGGGAACGACTTCTCGGGATGCAGTGCTCCCACAGGGATATAGGGATCTGCCCCCGCTGAGTTCATGCCGTTTCCCACACTTTGAAAATCACTTTAAAAAAGAAAAATCATGAAATATACTTAACAGTTTAAAAAAAAGAGAAGGAAATAATAATTATTCCAAAACAGGGAGAAAAGGATTAAAATTATATGTGAAGATTTATGTTAGCCATTAAACCTCCTAACAAGGTTTTATAAGAAATATACCTAAAGATAACATTTTCATAATTGTCTCAATAGTGGGTTTTTCTAAAAATTTTTTTTTTCCTGTTTTTGAATCTGACTTAGCACTGATACCAGAGGAACCCAGCTTTGTTCCTTGGTGAACATCAGAGATCAGCATGCAACTCTCCAGGACTGCTAAAACGGGCAAAGGGCAATTCTTTGTCTATTGAGCTACACATACAGCAATGAATGACAGTAAGTCTACCTCACACATGTAACGGAACACACTGCTTTCACAGGTGCTGCCAATTCCTGTGAAGAGGATATGGCTCCAAAGTAACCACTTTTTAGGAGGAGTGGGTTTTGTACATCTTTGTTGATGAAGAAGGTATGTAGGAAGGAGCCGGATGAAGCTAACACATGAGACTGGAGAGCTTCTACAGCCTCCTCAGAAAGCCGCCTGCTTGAGGGCTGAAGTCCCATTCTGGAGAGCTGCCCTGAGGGTGGCCAAAAGATCTGAGCAGTGCTATCAGATGGATATCAGAGGAATCATTTGTGATGATGAAGGAGGAAGAAAAGCAAGGTTTTGTGGAGGTGATTACACAACAGGTGATCCAGACTGATTTACTCAATCTCAGTTCTCATGGTTTCCAGAGAAAAAGGTTTCAACTAGAAGGGAACTAGCTCTTTGTTTCAGGCTAGTTACTCAAAATTAAATTAAATTTACTAATGTTGGCCTTTTTTTGATTGTATACCATGATGTTTCAGGGAGGTATTCAATGTGTTGATTTTAAGTGGCCTAATTATTTGAGACTTGATTACACCATGCAGTTTACAGATGCTTACGCAAAACCATCTCTCCTCTGTATTTCTGAGTGGGAAGGAGGACTGAATGATGCAAAGTCTGAGTGGCCATAATAGTAGGTCAGTTTTACTGACATTTGAAGTACCGCTTAATAATTGTAAGAATATTGTCATCATAGGCATTCTGCAATAGTCCAGTCTTAGGTGTTACAGAAACTTCAATTTCTATCTTTCATTATGTAATGTACCAGGTTTTTTTTCTGTTTTCATGTTTGCTTGTTTGGGATTTTCTTCGCTGATGGGCAATGAAGTCCCAAAATCAGAAATAAAGCATTTTCAGTGTTTTAGGTGTATTACATTTTCTAGCTTGTGCTATCCAATGAACGTTTTAAGTACTTATACCAGGTAGATCAATTCTATGATTCTATGATTCTACAGATCAATAAGCAAACCTGCAACTGCTGCATTGAAATATTCTTATTTATTCTATCCTGATGAATTATTCAGTTATTTTTTCAAAGTCCCACAGCAAACCATGGCTTCTTTTTGCATGCATTACAAGTTGTTCATCATTTATACTTCCATTAGTTTGACATTTTAAATATTTGCAATCTGCTTTCCCTGCTTTTCATAAGAAGATGGAATAGGAAAATTTAAATGGCTAATCTTTTTGTACCATATCTTACCTCTTTAAAAATGGAAAACTGTATTTGCTTTTGTAGCTGAAATACTGAATTTATGGTATCTCTTTACAATTATTAATTAAAATCGTGTACTTGAATGAAACTTATTGTGGTCATTCTTTGCTCTACCTAAGCTACTCTTGACAATGTAAAAATAGATGATTATATTAAAAAAATAAAAACTAGCCACGGTTTAGGCTGGCTTTTACAATAAAGAAATCACAAAGTAAATAAAAAATAAAATAGGTTAGTCATTCCATTAGTGCAGTATCTGAAATATAAAAATCCAAAGAGAAGTCTGCAACACATAGGTCATTTTTTGAGGCTGTCACAAGAAGTGGTTTGTGATGGAAGCTCACAGAAGAATTCCATTTGCAATGGGCCTCTAGGTGACACTGAAACTACTGGCACCAGTGTCCATGATGCAGGCAAGTTTAAACCCCTGTCTTAGGATTTAATGATGCTGAAACTGGCATCAAAGAGGAAGAAGGAGCAACAGTTTGTTGAGAGCACAGCAATAGTGTCAGGATGAAGAAGAAGCTGCATTAATAACTCTGGTTTGGAAGAAGGTGGGGAGCTAGACCTAGTAAGGCACAGATGCTTGCCAGTGCTGTCAAGTGTGATAGCTTGAGTCTCTCTCTGAAAAATAAATTATTTCTATAGGGAGAGTCTGAAACAGTTAAAAAGTCAT